CTAAGAGAAAAGTCAATTTCATCTTTTAATGAAGGTATGCATCGATGCACTACTGATGCATCGGTGCATCAAAGGTATTCGATGTAGTATTATTGTTGGGATGCATCGATGCACTCCTTATGCATCGATGCACCGATTGCATTCGATGTTTTACTATTAATGGGATGCATCGATGCACTACTTATGCATCGATGCACGAATTGCATTCGATGTCTTTATTTCAAAAATAGTGCATCGATGCACTACCAATGCATCGATGCACATTCATATAATTTCTGGGTTTTAACCTTGATGCATCGATGCACCATGAATGTGCATCGGTGCACTCTGCCTAGAATCCTCTTTTTGAACCCGAAAGTTCATTCATTTGGATTAAATCCTTCATGTTTAATCCTCTTTTTCATTCTTAACTCTAGTACACATCCTTAAACCAATTTATACTCATTTATTTCATCTTAAACCTTCAAATCCTATCATTCATATGTAATTCAAGAATTACATTAATAAATCAACATGTTTGAATTCCGTTTTTAACACTTCGTATATCTTAACTAGATTGATGACAAGTCAAATATAACTTTCAATTCTAGTTATGAACTCTATTCCAAGATTTCATTTAAGAACTTCAAATCTTAAATCTCTTATAACTCAATCATCCTTTGATGTTAAGATAACTTAAGCTTTCCTTAAGCTTAGTTATCATCTAATAATCAAAACCCAATATTAAATTTAACAAGAAACTCAATAATCAGAAATCTTACTTTTGCTTTGGTTCACGCGTACAAGGAAGAAAGAAGAAGAAGATAAGTCTGGAAGCCTTTGGTTCTCTCCTTTTCAACCCACTTGTATTCATATATATCCTTATCCCTTGTTTAATTAATTGATCATTGCAATGACTCTTTTTGCCCTTCCATTCCTACTTCCTTTCAATTCAATCCTACACAATCATTTACATATATATCTTTATACTATTCATTCATTCTATTTTAATCACCAAAATTTGAAACTTTTCAATTTAGTCACTAACCCGGTATTGAGGATGTTACATAGTTGGCATGCCAAGAGTCGAGGGTTTATGTGGTCCTTCGGAATAATTATGTGGTCCTCCGGGAAAAATATGTGGCACTTCGGTGCAACCCTATGTGGCACTTCGATGTAACCATATGTGGCACTTAGGTGCAACCTATGTGGTTCTTCGAGACAATTATGTGGTACTTCGGTGCAAATTATGAGCTGTGGTGACAGCATTAGTGCACAACCTCATAGTACTCAAATACCTAGATTTCTCAATAGTATACTTTGGGCAATTGGAACAAAGACATACACAGTATAGTTAATCAAAAGTATGCTTTTGATATGGAATTCAATGAAGCTCTTTGAAAAACAGTTTTAATATTACAAATAAGATTCTTGTTAATAAGTTAGCACTATTGTATTGCCTCACTAAGTCATCGACTTAGCGTGTGTTCTATCACTTGTAGGTTTGAAGAAGGTTGACGATTGATCTGGGTTGAAGATAGCATACCTTTCTGAAGATCAGATCATTGCAAATTAAATGTACGTTGTTGTTTATTTTGTAAACTATTGGCATGTATTATATGTTTATTTTGAAATGCTATGGTCGATTTTGTAAACATATATATTTTGTATTTTGTAAACTCTTACCTTTGAGGTTATTTATGTAAATTATTAAGATAATTTGTGAAATGATTTTCGATTTAGAATGATATTACTTTTTTTTATTTTGATTGGAACAAGAAGTTTTAAAATTATGCCTCTGTGTGATTTTCGTATGTTTGAAAAGTCAAATGTGGCACCTCAGATTCGTATCTGGGTCGGGTACGGGTCATGGGTGTTACATATTGAACCTGTGATTCTTGTGTGTTCTACTCGTGGCCTATATAGTGTTGAATTTCAATGGAACTACTATTTTGTCTGCCTCTCGCTTGTCATACATATGTTGAATATATGCATCGAAAATATTTAAAAACCAGATTTCAACATACCCACGCTGTGAGTAAAAGAAAACATTTATTGAAAAAAAATATAATTATAAAAAGTTATTCAACTATTGATAGAGTGGTACAGATCTAAATTTTAATGTTCTTTAAAAAGGTTTTGTCAACTTGACGCTAGAGACCATACCTTCCATTGTTCTTTCATGAAAAATAGCCAGCAATGCAAATCAACCAAATCTAGAGTTTCTACTCTCACCTTCTCTGGTTCTTCCTGGAAATACCCATTACTTCCGCTATTACACACTTTTCAGAAATTGCATAGAAACCTTTGTTTTGTTTCCCGGCAAATTCTATATATTTTTCTCTTTACTGATGCTCATATACTTCGATTGTTACCTTTATCCTCCCATCTATTTCTAGAAAGAAGTATAATGTTTTCTTGAGTTTTAGAGGTGAAGATACCCGCAAGAACTTTACAGATCAACTATTAAGCCAAAAAAAATAGAGAAAGAGATGAAAACAGACCTGTAAAACTTTAGATTGCACTAGAAAATAACTTGTTTTGAAGCTTTCACCGATCGTCTCTAGTGGGCACTAGGGTTTGGGAAGATAAGGGGGAAATGAATATAGGTGCGAGGCACCTCACGGGTTAACATATTGGAATTAATCTTCAAATAAAATTGGGTTTATTATTGAGTTGACCATCAGGATATCAGATTAATTAATATTTTTAAGATACTTACAAATTGGTCACCAAAATTGATTTAAGAAGATTGGGTTAAAAATAAACGAACATAAATGAACGAACATATAACCGAACGTTCACGAACGTAAATGAACGAACGAACCCTCTATTCGTGTTTATTCATTTAATTAAACGAACGCAAAATCTTGTTCATGTTCATGTTCGTTCATTTAATAAATAAACGAACATAAACGAACTTCCCGCCGCACGATTCATGAACGGTTCGCTGAACGTTCATTTCATTTACAGGCCCAACTCTCAAAATTTGAACCTTGGATGTAGATGTAATGGCAGCAGTGGTATCCTCCTAACAATGGCGTCGTTAAACTCAATTCTAATGATGCCATCAACCAAAGTACGACGGTGGCTGCTGGTGGAGGGGTTATTCGAGATAGTGATGGACAATGATTAATAAGATTCCACCGAAATATTGGTCGATGTTTAGTTCTCCACGCCGAACTTTGAGATGTGTTGGATGGTCAGACTATAGCTTGGGAGCGAGGTATGAGTCAGATTAATAAAATTCTAAACTCTCATGTTCAGCTAAACGAGATGGCACTCACTCGTAGAATCCGCAAACTTTTCCAACTCCAATGGATTATCAAGATAAAGCATGTCATCCGAGAAACAATTATTGTCGCCGAGGCTTCGGCTCGTCTTGGTCGAACAGCAAGTCCAGGCCTACAAATTCTGCAACATCCTCCTGCTGAGATTCACAGACTTCTTCATCTAAAATATTATCAAAAAGTATAACATTTAATATTATACGTAACATAATATGTTATATTCTTCATAACATTTGAGCAATTTTAGTGGTAAAAAGAATATTGTCCTTCTTATAGGTTTTAGATGCGAACAACTACGTCCAAAAGTGTGCATTTTCAAATATTGGATATCCAAAAAATACATATCACTAAAATTACGATTTGTATCCGATCCGAAAAATTAGATACTTGATTATTCAAATATCTGAATTTTCATATCAGATACTCAAATATCCGTATCCGAACATAAAACTTAATTTGATAAAATAAATTTATATTTCAATTTCATATTTTGTGACTTTATATTACATTTTTATATTTAAAATCATATTTTTTGGGCTAGAGGTTTAGTGGGTTAGTGAGTTACTTGCTCATTAAGCTAAATATTATCTAAACTCCAAATGCTTAATTTTTATCAGATTTTCAAGTAATTCGAAATTAGAATTTAGCTAATGTGTATTCAATCTGATTATCCTATTTTTCTATTAGATATTCTATCTGAATTATCAAAATATCAAAAAATAAAGCGCATATCCGAATTTTTGGATCGGACCAATAAATCAACAGATCGGATCATCTGGATCAGACTTTTTTCACACCTCTAACTACGTCCACAGGGTTGATACACATTATCAATAATTAAAAGTGATTTTGGACAAAAATTATTTTATAATCACACAAGACTATTCAAAAACTAATAATAATATCCGCTGCAACTTGGCATTGATTATAAAACTCGACCAACAAAACGTTACCAAACACTGCAAAAGACAAGTTGAAGGGGGAAATAAAAACAAAAAACGATTTATTATAGTATTAAAATAGGATCATATATCGCAATGACTGAATGCAAAAACATATTTCTGCCACTAGCAAAAGCTACTGCTATACAGGAAGTCAGGACAATCAATATTTGAGTGAGCAAAAACAATGCACGGTACAATTACTGAAAACTCATATCCAGACTCGATTTGATCCTGAAGTTAGTGTACTTAAAGTTCTCTAATAATGCTAAAATATAGTTTAAAATATCTATATCATATCGATCTAAAATATCATTATTTCTAATATATGTTTAATTATCTGTATGAGTGTGAATTTAGATATAGTTTTTTTTAATATATATATTTTTATAAAAAAAAAAAGTCAATGATCGCCTTATACATACTCGACCTAAAATATTCAATCGGTTCAATCAGAAAATGAATGATACTTAATAACCACAAAGCATCTGCAATTAATATTTTCGTCCAAATTTAAGATGTTCGTTTCATATACTCTTTATGCGTCACTCCCTTCTTCATTGTATGTTCTGGACAACTCAAGAATCTCAATTCCAAACTCTCACTGGATTTCTCTCTTTTTTTCTTCTCTTTCATTATTATATAATCTAAATCATGGATCTCTACAATGTTAAGGTAGCAGAAATCCTGTTTATGAAGCTTGAAGAACCCTGGCCTAGACCATACCGAAAACGCATATATGTAAATTTAATACAGATGTAGAGAAACGATCAAATGTATATAGCTGGGATTCAAAGAGTTGGAATGTAAATTTAATATATTGTAGGAGGTAAACACAAAAGATAGAGCTAGTTCAGCTAATGCTACCTTTCCATCCAGACAAGATAGCATCTATATTAGAATACGAGAAGAGAATGGGCGCTTGTAATCGGAAAGAGTGTTGAACGCAGATGCAGATAAAAGAGCTTCGCTCACCGGCCATTAGGCTCGCCAACCCTGGCTCTGCACCCCATTTGTTCCAGAAACTTGGTGAGATGCAAATGCTTGGCACCCCATTGCTCAGCTAATTTTTGATCCTTTGCTTCGGCATCTCTCCTTAGCCCGTCTAGTTGCTCCCTATATTCAGCTTCAATCATATCAAGTGCGGTCTTTTGCTCTTCCCTTAGAGCCTCGATCTTCGACTCGATTTCCTCCATTTTCTTCCTTCTGCGGCCCGCTTTCTCTGATTCCAGTTGTAACTCTACCCTTCTTAACCTCCAGGCTGCTTCCTTTTTATGTGCAGCCCAAGCTCGGTGCCCTTCATCTAGCTCCCTGCAGCAGTCCACCAGTTCAGATATCAGCATGTTCTCACTACAAGAAGAAAATGATCCATGGGGTACCATATTTCCCAAAACAGGGTTAGTTTCCGACATTCTCTCAGGTTGCAGCCATGGGATTCGAGGGGCAGCTGGCACTGTTGAGGGAGATAAGCTTAACGTCACAGAGGGGGAAGGTGGCCTGACAACTGAGGTATTGCTGGAATTAGAAGAAAGCCAAGGTGGAAGTAAAGTTGGTGCAGGCGAAGGTGGGTCGGTAGGAAGAAAAACCCCGTTGGAAGCGGCCATTGGAAAGGTTGAGCTATGCCTCTGTTTCACTAGTTTCTCAGCAAAAGTTTCTAATATTCTATCGTACTTGCCGTTCTCAACCGATTCTACCGTCTTATGCTTCTCCTTGTGTTCTCTTTGTTGCTTCTCTTTGAATACCTCCCACCACTTTCCCAGTCTTTTAGCAGTTCTGCCAGGGACTTCAGCAGCAATTTTCTTCCATTTGTTCCCGTGTTTGGCTTGAAGACGGATTACAAGACGCTGCTCCTCTTCCGTAAGGGATCCCTTCTTGATACCAGGTTTGAGGTAGTTATTCCACCTTTCTAAGCAAGATTTCGCATCTCGGTTTAGGGGCGTGTTCATGCGGTGTGACACAAGGTTCCACTCCCTCGGTCCATATTGTTTTACGTATGCACACAACAATGCGTCTTCTTCAGCTCTCCAACGTTGTCTCTCCTTCATTTCCAGGGGCAAACACCACTTCCCATCGCTCTACGATCCTCATAATGTATCTGCAACAAAATCAGTAAGTTTCTACAGATAGAGCCAACACACAACAGGTGAATCAAACAGTAATAAACTCACAAATAAGAAAGGACTAAATGCCACTAGCAAAATTAAAGATGAACTTATAACAATGCCATAGCCTGTAGAAGAATTTATCCAGTGATGATATAAGGTACAATTACTGATAAAAACTCATAACCAAACTATATTGCAACAGCAGGTATATAATGCAATACAGATAAGACTTTAGTCTTTACAAATCTATAAACCAAACAATATTTGCACCCAGGCATCACCAAGGGGAGAGCGAGTGGAGCGGTCGCCCCTAAAAATTTCATTTTCTTGTATATTTTAAATGTTTTTTTTATTTTCTACTAAAAATATATTTTCGGTCTATAAAAATTGATAAGTTTGTCCCGTATCATAAAATCATATGTCCATAGCGTATATAACCTCAATTAAGTTATTAATTAAACTAATCTGCTAAAATATCCCATAAAAAAATGTCTAAAAAACTAGGTGGCAAACCAAACAACCAATCGAACAGGGATATTCATAACATTTTATTCAAACCATCTGTCATATTTAGGAGACAATCTTCAGAAAATTACAACTTCAAGGCAAAAGAATACGGTTCATCAACATTTAGCAATTATGGATAAGTCTTTAGTAAACAATCATTTCTTTGAGAAACCCAGTTTAAAGAACTGAAAGAAATAATCTATGGCTAACAAGTTAGGGATTTGTCAGAGTATGAGGGATTCCCATCAAAATCTTCACATTGAGGGAACGTTTGGCTGCCGAGAAAACTAAGAAATGAAAAGGGTAAAATAAAAAGAAGTACAAAATTCATACATAAAAAAAAGCAGATAACTTGAAGCGCTAACAGAACAAGCTCACCATATTTTTGTTATCTTCAAGTGCCGAAATTTAAACTGTGTCTCGGTTGCATCTTCTAGCTTAAAATCTCCGACAACAACAGCAAAATGATAATAAAAAGAAATTGAAAACCAACAGTCCAAAACAACACTCTATCAAGAAAAGAAAGAAGAGCGGCTTAGAGAGAAAAAATGTGAGACTGGGAAAGGAGGAAAAGGAAGAAAATAAAAATAAGGATAAAAAGAGAGAGTAGAAGGGAAATGAAAACTCAAATTAGAGTGTTGTCAAACACACCGTAAAATTTAGACGAAGAAGAAAAAAAGAGTCTGACGGTCATGCACGCGAGTTGGACTGCGAACGTAAGGAAACGCAACTAAAGTTTTCGGACAACACTAGGGATTTTGTTACTATTAACTAAATTATTAAAATAATTAAAATAATAGAGTTTTATAAAAAGTAATAATAATTTTAGAGATGAAATCATCCAATTATTTTAAATTAAAATAATTTTATTTACAAAATATATATAAAAAATAACTAAAAATATTCCGAATAAATAATATTTTGAATAGATTATTAGAAAATTAATAATTATAATAACTTTGGAGGTGTTTTATTGGGGGATGACGTCAGCATAACCTGCAAAACCCTGGTCTCTAGTTTTTACCCTATGCTGCTTTTGCATTAGGCAGACAAAAATAAATAAATAAAAAAAAAAGAGAAAAGGCTTGATTAAAACCACCGAGAGAAACGAAGTGGCGTACGCTGGATTTCAGCGCTTAAATGCGCCTGCCTTCATTGTTTCCGCACTATTTAATTTTCCCCGCTAATTATTAAATAAAATAGAAAATGGGAAAGAAATCAGGACCGTTGATGTTAGGATTAGCCACGTAGGAAGGTGGGACCCGGGGGAAGGGAAGGGTGGGGGACTATAGTCCGGGTTTCGCGGCACAAGGAGACGAGTCTGATGTAGACTCGACCTTCTGCTCCGCTCAGAACCCCCTCTCAGATGTCAGTGATAAGTTACGTCCCTTTTTCTTTTTCTCTATTTCTTTATTTAAGTCTCTATTATTTGTATTATTTAATTAACAAGTAACCTTAAAATATCAAAATAATAATAATAGCTTTGCTTTATCTATTGTCGATTGGTTTCCCTTCACACAAGAACAATCAAAAATATCTTTTCCTACTTTTCAGTGTAATTGTTGCAAACATCCTCAAACTATAATAAAGATTTTAAAATAATATATAAAATTTATAATATTTTAACTTCATCCATAAATTATCAATTTCTTATCAATCAAATTCTTACATTAGTTTAATTATTTATTTGGGTATTCAATTTTTACACAAACATGAAATATAGAGTATATTTAAAAGAAAATTTTAGAATAAACGTTGCATATTGAAATACATTGATACGTTAAAATATACCACTAAAGAAAATATTTTTATTAAAAAATAAATTCTATGTAATTAATCTCTTATAAACTAATAGTTTCTGAACGTTTAGTACGAAGATTACGACAATGGGCTACCATAACCTTTTTTTCCAAACAGAATGAGAAAGAACAAACGAAAATATACAACCTTACCGGAAATTAGAGCATACTATTCTAATTAACCAATTCCATTTCCTTTTCACCTCCAAGCTCTACAATCGCACCAGTCAATGCACCTTCTGTACCCACTGACTACTTGGTTGAATTTTCAACAAGAGTGCTATTTACAGCGTTTGTGAAAGATGGTGAGATTACACGATGTCTTTGAGAAAGACGACAATATTGCACGGCGTCTTTAGGAGTAGGGGAAGTTTAGCTTGGTTACACAAGAGTTATGAACGGAGTGTTAACGTCGAGAGGAGGAGGAAGAGGCCTAGTGTTCCGCATGTTTTCCTGAACCATCTAAAAGACGTCCAATGCTCAATGAATTTTCCCCGAAAACACTATTTATTTCACCATATTTTAAAACATAATCTCAGAAGTCTAATATATGAGAAGTTTTCTTCTAGATCATCGTTCAAGAATTTTTGTCATCAAAGAATAAATATTTGTCTTTTGAGCTTATATTTGAATTCATAAGATGTATAATTTTTAATATTTGTAATATTTTCTTAATGTTAAAAATATTAAAATTTTAGGCATAAGATGTATAATTTGAACACTTATAAGAGATTATTCAGGAAAAAATTCTTTAAAATTTTTAATATTTTCTATGAGACTTTACTTAATGATTTATTACAGAATGTCACATTAATAGTGCATTCAATGTACGACGTTTACTCTATACTCATTCATAATTAAAACACTATAATACTAATAATAAACACTAAACTTAAATTTTAATTATATTATTTAAGGCTTAATATAGACATATGTGTCTAAACTATACTCTTTTTCTCATTTAGGTGCCTAATTTTTTTTCAGTCAATATAGGTGTCTAATGTTACCATTTTAAGTGTCTCAACCGTAACGGTCGTTAAAAATATCGATAAAGTGACACATGCACATTTATATTATCTAAGAAAAAAAATTCAAAAAAAACTAAATTTGTGTCCTTAATCCCCGTCATCGCCCTCCCCCTCCCCCTATAAACATTTTAAGTTTGGTTTGCATGTTTACTATTATATTTTGACTCAAATTATAATTAGTAATTAAGTTTGATTTTATTGTAATTCTAGTGCTTGAAGATTACTTGGTAATTAAGTTTATTTAACAAAGTAAATATTTATTTTATGCAAGAATTCTTATTCCATGAGAATTCTTGGTGATCAAGTATTTGACTCTATAAATAGAGATGATGTCTTAGCCTTTAGAATATGTGAGAGATAATTATTTTGGAGAGATGTAATCATTTTTTAGATATTTGTAACTTTTAGGGTTTATGTTGTAAAGATAGTTTTATAGGGATATTGAGAGTTTTTTAGGATATATTGAATTTTGGTATCTATATCGGGTTTTGGGATACATGTAATATTATATACTTGTACCCTTTGTTTTCTCTACGTTTATAGTGGATTATTGTTCATCTCGCCTGTGGATGTAGGCAAGGTCAAACCACGTTAAATCTCGTCTCCTATGCATTTCTTATTTTATGTTAATATCACTTTTGCTATTTTTCCTCTCTCAAGTTCCTAACAAGTGGCATTATAACTATGGTTCGAGCTGTAGAATTTTGAATGAACTTGTCATTGCAATTTTTTGTTAACGATTTTGGAGCCATGTAAGAGGATGTAACGTGTTTGCTTCAATATAGTTTATATAAGAATTAAAGTTGTTGAAGACTTAGTGACAGTACTTCAATAGATATGTGACTTACGTGAACATTAACGTTGTTGAAGACTTGAAGATCATTTTTTTATGAAATTTGGGTCAATGAGGAGATTTATTATATTTTGACCCAAATTATAATTGGTAATTAAGTTGGATTTTATCATAATTCTAATGGTTGAAGATTACTTGGTAATTAGGCTTATATAACAAAATTCTCGATAAAATATGTTTATAAATATTTCCTAACTAACTCTAAATAGAATCCCAATTGTTTTGGGTAAAGTACACAAATGGTGTTTTGACTTTAGGGTATTACTTTATTGAGTCTTCCGACTATTAAAAGTTATAAAATGATCCTCAGACTATAGGGAATTGATTTGTTGAGTCTCTCGATTATTAAAAGTTACAAAATGGTTACTCGACTATTTATTATGTTTCAAACTTGTCCTTTTCCTTTAAAAAATTGACGACGATTTGAGTTGGACGTTAACCTGTTGACTGAGATATAATAAAATATATTTTCATAATGTCAAGCGACTATCATATCGCAGTCAGCATGTTAAAGTCCAGCTTAGACGACGATTAATTTTTTAATGGATTTGAAGCATAATGAATAGTCGGGTGATCATTTTGTAGCTCTTAACAATCGAGAGACTCAACAAAACAACGCTATATAGTTGAGAGACTATTTTGGATATTCAACAAAACAGTATCATTTTGTGTACTTTCCCTTTTCTTAAATTTATGTCGCATTAATTTTTCTAATATCTTCCTTAAAATAATTTAAACCCATCAAAAAATCAATTTATTTCCTTGTTTTTCTTAACTCTTGCATGAATTATAGGATTTTCAATTACAAAGGAAACTTGTTGGACTAAAACCGGATAGAAAATCAGATGTAAGGAGTGGCATCTTTGGCATCATAAAATATGATTTGACTTGTCAAACATGCGGTAAATTTGAGGTAGATTCTCTTAATCTACTCTCACAATATTTCTTTTATAAAAGATGCTAGTTTTATTAACAACATAGAAAATATTTAAATTACAATCAAAATTTATAATAATAAAATATTTTTTTAATCATTAAGGTAATAAATTAATCCTTTAAAATTATATGAGGACTATACAAGAAATTTTTTTTATCAAATAAACTCGAATAAAATGTAGATACGAATATTTCTGATCTCATTGTCAAACGAACCATAAAAGAGAATCAAACTATTAAAAAATTACCAACAAATTATAAATCATCGAGCAATATGAGAAAATTATCCACAAATGTAAATTGCACATCCAAATTCAATCCGAGAGTTCAAAGCAAAAGAAATCAACATGATAACAGATAAGTGTTATCCTAATCAGTCGTGACGATATCAAATTCAACCCTAAAAAAATTAAATGAAAATAAATACTCAAGTGATCAAAAAAGTGCCGAAAGATAAAGGAAAATATGCCACAAAGATAAAATAAAAACGAATCATAAATCTAGAGTTATAAAAGATTAAAAAAACAATATTATAAAATAAAGAAAAAACAATAAACACTAACTACCGACGATTAACATTAAAATTAATATCGTCACTTATCATAAAAAAAATTAACAAGTGTAAGAAAAAAAGAGAAAACTAAGGGTATGTTTGTTTATTTCAGAATAATTAAGCGTTGAATGATTCAAATGCTGAATGATTCAGAGGCTCTGAATGAATTAACTCTGAATGTGACATTCTGTTTGATAATGACTCTGATTCATTCAGAATGTACTTCTGTACTGAATCATTCGACATTATTTTATTGAATCAGTCAATATTAAATAATTCAGAGATACGAAATAAATACATTGAATACTGAATCATTAAGCATTCAACACTGAATGATTATATTAAAGGTAAACAAACCCCTAACATAACCTAATAAACGTAAATGTGCGTATCTACTCTCACAATATTAGTTTATATGTAT